AGGCATGCACCACCATGCCCAGCTAATTTTTTGTATTTTTAGTAGAGACGGGGTTTCACCATGTTGACCAGGATGGTCTCGATCTCTTGACCTTGTGATCCACCCGCCTCGGCCTCCCAACGTGCTGGGATTACAGGCGTGAGCCACTGCGCCCGGCCTTGAGATTCTCATAGAAGGTGTAGAGGCTCAAGCCTGGTTATAATGTGGCAAAGCACTTCTGGAGTTTTAGTGATCACCCAAGTTAATCTTAGATATTACAGTCTTAAGACACCACACACACACACACACACACACACACACACACACAGACACACACACACACACACACACACTCAAACACAGTTTCATACAAAATCTCTTTCAGCGGGTAAAAGTTGAAATTTATTTCCTTGAGATTCACATGCGAGTTTCCATGGACTCCAAGCTGCAACCCAATAAGCTAGCGCCCTCGTCTTCATTTAGAGCCTCCCAAGACACAGCACCGTCTACTGGGGCAAGAGCTTGTGAATATAAACTGTGGCAGGGTTCAAGGAGAATTTTTTTTTTAGATAGACTGTTGCTCTGTCACCAGATTGGAGTGCAGTGGCATGATCTTGGCTCACTGCAACCTCCACCTCCCAGGTTCAAGTGATTCTCCTGCCTCAGCCTCCTGAGTAGCTGGGACTATAGGTGTGCACCACCATGCCTGGATAATTTTTCATTATTTTATTATTATTTTTTTTTTTTGGAGACAGGATCTCAGTTTGTCACCCACACTGGAGTGCAGTGCCACATCTCGACTCACTGCAACCTCCGTCTCCTGGGCTCAAGTGATTCTCTTGCTTTAGCCTCCCAAGTAGCTGGAACTACAGATGCCCGCCACCATGCCTGACTAATTTTCGTAATTTTAGTAGAGACAGGGGTTTCACCATGTTGGCCAGGATAGTCTGGATCTCTTGACTTCATGATCCACCCACCTCCAACTCCCAAAGTGTTGGGATTACAGGCATGAGCCACTGACCCCAGCCCAAAGGAGAATTTTTAAAAACATTTTCATTTTAAAATATGTATTAAAAAGAATATAAGCCGGGCGCGGTGGCTCAAGCCTGTAATCCCAGCACTTTGGGAGGCTGAGGCGGGTGGATCACGAGGTCAAGAGATCGAGACCATCCTGGTCAACA